TTTTGCCAAATGGATGGGATTTTCCAAAGGGCCTTGCCATCTAAGGAGCTTCATTTGCAACACACCTATGTGCTGTTCCCAAGGGTGACAGCATGGCTTCCGCCAATGTCTGTATTATTTTAAATTTTTTATGTTATCTATATTCTACTCGAATATAAACTACAGAGCATTTTTTATAAGTTAATTGGCCACTACATTATAATGCCTCTATTGGGGAGGCCAAAGAAGGGACAGACTGTCACTGGCCTTGGTGCTGTGGATCTGTGAGGAAGTTAGCAGTTCAAATCCCAACAGGAGACCCAAGCAGCTAGTCATTCGCTCTCATTATCATGGAGTTCTTATGCTTCTTGATGTCTTTATAACATCCTAACATCATCTCTAATCCTACATGGAGCCTTGTGTATACAAAAACTATTCAATCAGTTTAGACTATGCCGCCTATATTTTGATATTAGTATGAAGCCTGCATTATACATATTAAGCCACTTTTAACACTCAAAAAATGTTAATTTTATATGGCTCAGTCTAACATCAAGGAACTAAAAATATTTATAAATTCCTTCTTAGCAGAGTCCCAGGCTAGGAGCCAAGAATGCTGAATTAGAAATGATAAATGCAGTACTTAAGATTGGAAGTTAAGAAGGCAGATTTTCATTCTCAGTTTATTCTTTGGAAATTGTTTTATGTCAATTTGACACCAGCTAGAGTCATCTCAGAGGAGGGAACCACACTTACGAAAATGTTTCCCTACAATCGGACTGTACACAAGCCTGTAAGGCATTTCCTTCATCAGTGATTGATGCGGGGGAGGGCCCAGCCCCTTATGGGCAGGACAACTCCTGAACTGGTGGTGGTCCTTGGTGCTATAAGAAAGCAGGCTAAGAAAGCCATGGTGAGTAAGCCAGTAAGCCACACCCCTAGGTTACTATTTCAGGGTCTCTGTTGGGTTCCTGTTCTCTGCCAGTTGAAGAATCAAAAGGCAAGGAAAAATGTCAAGTGCAACAGGTGACAGTGGTTAATCTCAAACACCTCATACAACAGCAGACAGAACTAGCAGTTGAAGAAAGGTCTTTGTTGGGGTAGAGGAAACACAAGTGTGCAGTGAGAAAAAAGATGCTTTGCAAAGCCGAGCAGGGATAATGATGACAATGACTAAGAAAGCCCCCAAACCCAATCTCTTCTAGATGGCTGGAATTTTTTAAGTCCCTGAGGAGCTATCCTCCCCTAATTTAGGGCCAGTCAGTTTGAAGAAAGATAAGACAGTTGACTGGCCCACAACTGTTGTGTAAACATGTCTTAATCCTGTCTTGAACTTGTTGAGCCAGTCCATCAGCAGGTAGCCTGCTGTTGGAGGAAAACAGCCTACAAGGCTTTGATTTTAAGTTGACAGGCTTTTGTTCTAGGTCAACAAATTAGAGGGACACAGGAGGTAGTTCAGTGGATAAAATGCTTTTTGTGCAAGCATGAGGACCTGAGTTCAAATACCCAGAACCTACCTTAAGTCTAGGCAGGGTAGTGAAATGTCTATAGCCTCAGCACTGTGGAGAGTGAGGAAGACAGACAGATCGTGGAGATGACTGGATACTAGTCTCACAGAATGAGAAAGATGTGTGTGTGTGGATTTGGATATAGAAGCAAAGGGATTTGATGAGGAAAACAGGAGTCATTCCACCCATTCTGAGTTTTAAATATATAAGATAAAATTAGAAGCTTTGTGACTTTCACAAGAGCTGGGAGCATGGGTACCAAGACAGTTGTCTGAAATGTCAGAGGGGCTAACAGTAGGGAGTACTAGAATTCTGCCATGGCCACAAAGTGAGGGTTCCTAGGAAAGTGTCAGAGCTTCTGGGCACATGGAGCTGGCAGTATGGAAAGACCCATGTACCCACTGCCACACTTTCCTGCTTTTCCAGACTTCATAAACTTTCTTTCAGTCAAGTCTATCCAGGCAGAGAAATGGTGGGTTCCAAATCCACAACAAGCAACCCAGTCATAACTTGGGCATTTTTTATGGTATAGACCTTGAGTTGGTTTAATGGACATTTTACGGTATAAACCTTGAGTTGGTTTAAATGTGAGAGCATCACATCCCTCACTAAGTCGTCTTAGTTCCTGTTCAGCCACTAGAGTTCATAGCCTTCCACATTAAAAATCCACCTGCTATGAAATGCTTCTAGCACAATTACTAAAAATATGACCATGGTTCCTGTCAGTTGCCATCTATTTTTATTTTTTAATTTTTTTATTAGAAACAGAAATGGATTCCAGGAAGTTGATGGGAATCGATTCAAATGAATCACTAAAAGCCGCAGTCTGCTACATTCAGAAAGAGGATGTCAGTGCCTGATATTGTGATTCACAGGCAAGAAGAGGGCATTGCTATTTTTATTGAAAGTAAGTAATGCACTGGGGGTCACCTTCAGGGCCATTTGCCTTATGTGTTATTTTGCAACACACCTCTTTCAGGGAACCTAAATGCCATGTCCCTGAGGTAGGTATTTATTATCTAGACAGACACTTCTCTGTTGACAAAACCCCAAGTGTGCTCTGAGACTCGGGACCTCACTCAGTTGATTGGTCCTCACTAAACTTGGCAATCCTTTATCAAAAGCCAGACTAAGCTTGGTCACATGGGTCTGGAAGGGATGGATATCTGCTCTGGAGCCTTTATGGGAGGTTTTCTTTACTTGGGTGCTCTAAAATGTCCGTAATGAAGAACAGTTCATCTACTGCCAACCATGTCATGCTTGGTCCATAGCCCTGGACAAAGTCCATCTAGAGCCCAGCATCCTGCAAGGACCGAGATATCTGTTCCTTAATAAAACTGGAGAGATCGGGGACCACTGCTGAGCCTTCCCCTTTCTTGGGACTCCTAGGGATTTTGACACGCATTGTCCTTTACATCCATTGAATTGGGATTATTCTTACACAGCATCATCTCACCTGATAGCAGAGCTCCTTACCTATGACCCTATGTGTCCTTGGGAATCAAATGTAATGATGGTAGGAGAATGATTCCACATCAACCTTGATCTGCTGCCACCCCAATCTCTTCACTTCTGTCCTTTGTTTCTCTACTAAGTAATGTGATGCCAATTATATATTATAAATCAGTTATTGCTTATCAAGTAATGGATATTGCCAAGACTTCCACTCTGTCATGATCCTTCACTAACTTGAATTCATTCTCAGTGGATTTAAATGAGAGCAATATATGTGGTAAGGCACCAGGCTCATACCATGTTAAACTGACCAAGTGATTCCTATTTGAATAGATGGACATGTTTTGTTTGGAAAACACTGGGTTTCCCCATATTTTCATGACTCTCCACTAATGATATATATGTGAACCCTTCTGTTTAGGGAGAAAATAAGACCAGGCTGGTTTCTTAAGGCAACTGATTTAGATAATTCAACTTCTCATTTGTATAAGGCTTTATAAAATAGGTGGCATATTGAGGGTGCTAATAAATATATAAATAAGTTAATGAACCCACAAGACGTCTGACTTGGAGGTTTGACAATAAAAGATTATTATTTCTCTAGCTCTATTGCTTATTATTCAGTTCTGAATACAGGCTTGTAGCCCAGCATTGGCACTCAGCACCTGAGATCATTGGGATGACATTGAACACGCTCCATAAGCATTAGTTTCCTCATCTACAAAACTAAGGTTGAGGCAAGCACTCCCAAGAGGGCTATGATCAGTCAGCTACTGTTGTTCATTGGCGAGTCCATCCTGGAGGGAGCAGTTGTTTCACAGATGGCAGGGAACAGCATCCAGTATCTCCTGGCTGTCCCATGGGTTATGTCTCCCCTCCCATCATTCCAATATCATTGACAAGAGTGAGAGCTATTCCTTGGGCAAAAGCAGACACCAGTGACCAAGTCTGGGCCACCTCTAGGAGGATCTGCCTACACCTGCATCAGGAAGATGCAGAGCTTGGTTAGGCTAGCCTGGAGACCAAGCCCAACAGTACTACATCAAGCTGGTGAGATGCAGTGACCAGACACTTCCCAAGTCAGCATGTGTCTAGTGTTTCTGCCTAAGAGGTCAATTTGAATAATTTAGAAGCACTGAGAGACTATCAATTTAGTCACCTATGAGTTATTGACATAATCCTTATTCAAGTCTAAAGATGTGAACATCCTCTGTTTCTCAATATGTGGCACAGGCTGGCCCCAAACTCTCTCCACTCTTCCTTATCATTGCATAGGTTCCTCTCTGTGAAACTGAAAGCATTATTGTCCTGAAAGATATACAACAAGCCCTGGGATTTGGAGTGGTCACTGGATCTCAAAAAGGATCCCAGACCAGCGGCACCAGCATCCCCTGTTGGAAATTCAAATTGCTAAAACAGAAAAAGGAAAGGGGAAAATGCAAATTGACCAGACTGTTCTCAAACTACAGAAGCAGACCTGGAGTGGAGAACTTTAACAAGTCTTCCTGGAGTCCTTGTGCACATCCATGTTTATGAACCTATGAGATGATAAGGAAGAGTGGAGAGAGTTTGGTGCCAGCCTGTGCCACATATTGAGACCCTGTCTCAAAAGGAAGAAAAGAAAGAGCAGGAAAGAGAAAGAGGGGATGGGGGGGTAGCGCACACAGGGAGGAAAAGGATGGAAGGGTAGGGGAAGGGACTGCTTTCAAGTAGGGGAAGCTCTTACAACTGAACCATTACAAATAATTACAAACAGTGCCAAAGTTTACAGAAAGGCCAAGAACATGAAAGCTAAATGAAGATTGGGGATTTGAAGGTGGAAAAGCAAAGTGGCTTGTGCTTGACCCCACCCACTTCTTGGAACAGGCTAACTCGCCTGTATTTTACAAGTACCAGTAACTAGGGCTTGTAAAATACAGAATATGCTTTGGAAAGCAAAACACATTTTTTTAACACTTCAAACTCATGAAAGTAATCCTGGGGAACACATAATGTGACTGTTCTCTTAGTTCCTTGTGGGGGGAGATTTCCCTAATAAAAAGGCACTTGTTTCATGCTACTAATATTTATTTATGAGTTCAGAATATATGGCTTTATTAGAACATTGAAGACAGAATACATGGATATTCTTTAGACTTAAAGAAAAATAGCTGATGGGAGATAATAGTCTTAGAAATGTAGTTACAGAAAGAATTACAGAAGAATAGAGCCTTCCAATGTAGAAGAACGGTTACTAGAAGAAGTAAAACCAGAAAAAAGAAAGTGGGAACAAAGGACATTACACCTCCACAGGACCATGTGGGTGCTGTTATTTGCTGTCTTTTCAAAGCAGACCTTGCTCTTACAAAACTGCCATCCACATGTCACTGCAGACGGCTCACAGATGGTGCATGGTACGTGTGTATTTCCACTTCAGAAACCCAACAGTTACATGGATTGGGCGGCTCAGAAACACCGGAAATTCAGGAAGTCCAAAGTCAGGATGCCAAGTTAGGTGTCTGCTGAGGTCCATAGATGGCCACTTCTGGACTCACTGCAGTCTTCTTGCCATGTCTCCAAGGGATAACAGAGTTCTCTGGGTCTCTTTCCTGAGGATAGAATCACACTCATGAAGACTCCAAGAGGGCTCTGCCCTTGTGACTTGATAATCTCCCAAAGGCCACACCTCATAATCACGTCACTCTGTGGCCCTAGTTTTGGTACACAAATTTCAGGAGGGTATGAACATTCACTCTGCAGCACAGAATACCTAGTATTTTGGTGACTCAGTCTCAAAGTTGAGAAAGAAATCTGAGTGTCTAGGTCCTTGAAGAAGGCTGGCTCAGAGACCATTGCTGCTCATGTAGAAGCAACAGATGGGGCCCTGATCAAGGCACAGGCTGGGCAGATTGTTGCATGTTTATTAAAAAAAATACACTTGTAGGCTATGTGAGGGCTGGCAACGTGGCTCAGAGAGTAAAGGCACTTGCTGCATAAACCTGAGGATCTCAGTTCAAACCCATGTAAAGGTAGAAGGAAAGAACCAGCTCCACAAAGTTGTTTTGACCTTCACACGTGCCATGATATGTATGTGCCCACACATACATCATATAATATACACATAATAAAAATGAGTAATTTTTTGTCAAAAACCTTAAAAAGAAAAGTTCCATGAATACCAAATCTTAGTGCGTTGGATCTTACACTAAATGCACTGCAGGTAAGTAACACTTGTGTAGTGATGATCTCTTTGCATGCTATTTAGATGAATGAACACATTAGCCAACATGACGTGACTAGTCTAACCATTATTGTCCACATGAGAAAAGTGAAGTTCTCAGAAGACGGGTGAAGGAATGACGTACCAGCATCAGAGAAGTTTACAATGGAGTCAGAGTACTGCCTGCCTGTGATCCAGAGAAGCAAGTTCTATCGGCATGAGGAATGAGCAGCAGAGCTAGTTGTCACACAATGGACAGAAAGTGGGGGCCGCAGTAGCCCAGAGAAGGGAAGAAGTGGGGCCAAGGTAGATGTGGACGGTAGCCTGAGCAGTATGGGGAGCCCTGGGAGGCTGTCGGAGATCTGAGGTATGGCTAGCTTAGGAAGAGACTCCAAGAGACTCTGCACAATTTTGTGCTGTCTTTCTTGATCTCACCTAAGATGTAAATCATCCCTTTTGTCTTGTATCCAGTCTGTCAGTCTTTATACATTACCCATCCATGTCTGGTTCCATTACTGTCTCTGTCTCAGTCCCACTGTCACAGCTTGCAGTTCTGTCTTTGGCTAACCCTTCCACAGCAGCCCATTGCTATCACAGTGTTTGCAGTATCTGCCTACATTTAACTCACTAGGGAGTGAGATTGCCATCCCACATCGTCACAGGAAGAATAGTGCGTGTAATATTTTAAGGGAGAAGCAGTCTGTGTGTGTGACCTTTACTGTAGTACATAGCTAAACACTGTTGTTAAGCTGTTACTGTGTCTAATTTACAGGTTAAACTTTATCATCAGCACTCATGTACAGAAGAATAGCATGCATCAGGTTTGATGCTAGCCCACTGGAAAGTTTGATGCTATTCAAGTGGAGTCTCCTATGCTTTTCCCGTGGGTAAGTGACTGCTAGTACCACTGAAGGACCTACCAGAGTACAAAAATACATATTTACCAAACTTTCTATGTTTATGTACACACAGAGTCCAAAAGGAGAACATGGAAGCCACCCTTTAATCAAAACCTCCTTAGTGAATGTTTTCCATATATGTACAAGTTTCAGCCAACTGAAGCTCAAGTGCCAAAATATTTTTAGTTAAAGCCATTTTATATGGGATATTTATGCAATGAGATAATCCCCATAAAGCATGGGGCACAAACCCTGGCACACAGAGTTCAATAAGTGTTAGTTATTTTTAATGTTAATTAAGTGTATTATGTAAGCGCCTGCCTTAGATCAGAGTAAACAGAGTATAATTTACCCCTCTTGATGGCTCACAGTCATCACAAACATTAATTACTTAATGAAGCTATGAGTACAAGGACATCTTGGAAGTGACCAGGAATTCTGGGGTTGTTGGCCCCTCTGTAAAACAGCTCGACTGTGAGAGATGGCTAACAACAGAACTGACAATTGTCTCACTACTATTCACTGTGTCAAGCTGTCGCTTCTTATGGCTGTCCACGTGCCTGCACTGGCCATCTCTCACCTCCCAATTGCCTACCACTAACCATCTTTGAGCTATGACATGGTGCCATTTGAATATTGACCATCCTAACAAGGACTGGTCTACTTATCCTCCCTTAGCCCATTTCCCATTCATTTGTCCAGAAACCTTGAAGCTTCCAGAGTGAAATCTATTGAGTCTAACCAGGTGTGATGCTGCATACCTATAATAACTGCAATCAAGAGGCTGACGAAGGAGGATTGCAAGCTTGGTGCAAGCCTGAGCTACATAGTGATACCCTATCTCAAAAACAAAATAAATAAAATTATTAAATGATTCATTGATGCTGAAAATGAGAATCAGGAACCTTTAGTGATTTGGAGGGTGGCATTTTGCTTTGTGGATTTGTCTTAGTATACTAAGAGACTGAAAGCTGGCCCAACTTTTTGACTGTCAAAAACTTGACTTGGGCTGGAGAGATGGCTCAGTAGGTAAAGTTCCAGCTTCATAAGCATGAGAACCTGAGTTCACATCTCTAGCACCACAATTGGGTATAGTGGTATACCTCTGTACCCTAGAGCCCCGGGATGGAGACAGACAGATCTTGGGGGTTCACTGGCCAGCCAGCCTAGCCAAACTGCTGAGTTCCATGAGTAAAATAAAGTTGAGTGTGACCAAGAAAGACATTCAGTGTTCACCTCTAGCCTCCATGTGTACAAGTACAGGCAAGCAAACATGTACACCCACACCCACCCACCAACCACCCCAACACACCCACATGGGGGGGTGTCTTTATTTCAAAGAAAAAATAAATGAGAACAGAAATGAGAGGTCTATATTGACATGCCATGTAATAAGAACTGGTTTACAACCCACCTGGGACTGGAACAGCAGAGAAAGACCAAGCACCCACTGGAAAACATGCTAAAGTATGGAGGATTTGGAGCCATAGGGTCTAAGGGGGTCAGCTGTGTAAGCTGAAGCTGGTCACATGACCATTCTACATGCAAGTGCCTGTGTTTGCACATCTGAGATTGAAATACTTGCTATGAATGACTGTGCTAAGGGCTAACTAAATAAAAGGGTATTTATAGTAGTCTTCTGGGGTTGTCATAAGAAAAGTTCTGCAGACTGGGGGTGGGGTGGGGCGTGTGTTAAATAACAGACATCCCCTCCTGCCTCACAGCTACAGAAGGGGTGGTCCATGGTGAAGGTGCAGGCAAATATGGTCATTCCTGTGGCCTGTTTGACTTACAGATGGTCATCTTCTCACTGTGTCCTTGTTTAGCCTTTTTCTGTGTGAGCGTCTCCTTGTGTGTTCAAATTTCCTCTTTTTACAAGGACACAGATTCGATTGCATTCCTACACTAATGGCCTCCTTTTAGCTTAACCAAAGGCCATATCCCCAAATACTGTCACCCTCCAAGGCATTGGAGATTAGGGCTCCAACACATCAATTTAAAGAGAACACAACCCAGACCATAAAAGAAGGCATGCAAAAGCTTTTAGTATAGATGTTATAACTGTTAGAGACCTGGGGTACAGGAAGACACTGACAAGTGAGACCATAAGTGACAGGCTGTGACACCCAGAGAACAAGTCATAGTGGTCTCTTCTCCAAAACTGGCAGCATCATGAGATGGTCATTTGCTCCCACAGTTGACCTTATGGCTACATCCCTTCTGAAATTCACTCTTGAGTCTTTTCTTTGAATGTCAGGCACTGGGCTGGGTGCCTAAAGGCTGCAAGTTTACCACTTCACATGTCAGTTATACTGAAACGGCCTGAGAACATGGGGTGGAGTCTTGCCACTACCTTTCTATGTCCTAAGCACACCCTGTATACGCCCAGACACTTGGCATCTCACAAACATATGCCCCTTAATATTGCCAGCAGTCCTCAGAGAACCTGACAGTAAAGCTCAGAAACATGCAGTTAACCCTTCTCAGAGCCACTCACACTCCAACATTAGGGTTCAAACCCAGGTCTTCTGGAGTGGAGTTCACCACTTTTCTCCTCTGTAGCATAGTGTAAAGAAAGGGAAGGACTCTTGGCTATAGAAGAACACAAAATTACTGAACAGAAGCTTGGGTACAAGTCCATCTACTGGAGGCTTTTTCCTGAAAAGCCTTCAAGGTTGAGGGGAGAGGGCAAGCTGGTGTTTGTGATATAGAATGTTACAGGTAATACAACATAAAAGCAGCTTCATTTAAGGCAATCCCTGCAGATTGGGGAGTTACCTAAGCAAATGAGCAAGTAAAAAGAGACGTAAGAGTAGAACACAGCCCTGCTGAGTTCTGTTTTGTTCTGAGAGTCCAAGGGATTCAGAGCAGAACAGTCAAAGAACTCTGTAGAACTATCCCTAGCCCCAGGTGGTCCCACAGAACCTGGGCAGCTGATGAAGCAGAAATCCACCAACATGCACTCCTCTCTCTTTTCTCATCCTTTGACCATAATTTCAGCCTTCCTGGGCCCTGATGATAATACCCCAATTTCAACAGGAAGTAGTTATAGAAGAGATGACTTCACACCTTATCATCAACAAAAGGCTGGAATGTTAGATTGCAGACCCAGGACAAGTCTCACTCAGTACCCAAGCAGTCCTCCAAGCATTTCTCACCCTGCCCCTGATCTATTGGGAATGGTAATACATATTCTATGCCATTTTATGTTAGAATTTGCTCGTTAATTTTACAGGGGTTTAGAATTAATGGATGGCCTTGTATCTCCGAAGGGACCTTGGGCTTTGAAACAGTATAGACTATGAGAGACTTTGGGGACTTTGGCATGATGATATGGCTACAAGCCTATGGGGCCCAGAGAGTGAAAAGTGGTGGTTGGAATGAGAATGGCTCTCATAGGCTAATATATTGGATGCTTGGTTCCTGGTGGGTGGAATTATTTTGGAAAGAGCTAGGAGGTATGACCTTGCTGGAGGAGGTGTGTCACTGA